TTGAACAGTGTCTTGTCTCCCCCAGTTACATTCCATCTTTCTTGAAGACAAAGAATATTATCTTTTCCCTTGTAGATCCTTTGGAGAGCTTTTCTACTAAGTAGATTTTTGGTATATGTATTTATTAAAACAAAATCTAAGGGAAAACCAAAACAAGTCAATGAAGATACACGTCTGTATTTTACTTTCTAAACATCTTCATTATTGGTTTTTGTGGGGGAACAGCTAGCTTTATACTTTTGGCTCTGGGGAGAGCAGTCATTTAGCAAGGAAAAATGTTTGCCTGGCTAGCACATGCTGTCTCCTTTGTATTCTCATCTTATCCCAGGAAAGCTTCTCTTTCCCATCAGTCTGATGTAATGATCAGTCACTGGTTTATGACAGGTGGTTAAGTGTGATTTTGACATTTCTTGAAAGGCACAACTGATTAATCAGAACATGACATTGAGTGATTGCTATTCAAAGACGGTAGCATAATGAGAGGTAGTATGCTGTACTTGGATTTTATGAGTTGCAGACAAATATGGTAGGTGAAGGAAGCCATAAAGCACACTGTGAGACCAGGTATGGTGGTTCATTCCTGTAATTTCAGCACTTGGGATGCTGAGGCAGGATCAGGAGTTAGAGGCCAACTTGGGCTACATAGTGAGTTCCGTGAGCCTGAACTACCCATTCTCAAAAAAAGAAAAAAAATACATGTTCTGTGAAAAGGAAAAAGTACTTTTGTTTGAAAGGGTGCCTTTGAGGTACACTAGCAAAGTATTCATTTCCATTTTAGCTAAAAGTCTTACTTTAAAATATTTCTATTATTGGCTTATCTTGTACAGACATTTTCAGAGGAAAAAGTTTGTCCAATTTAACAGTTTTAAAAGATGCTGTGCAATTTGACAAAAAAATCACATTATCTGTCATAGGCATCACTAAAATCACTATGTGTGTAAAATTCTGAACGAGTAGTAGGAGATACAGGTTCATATCTTTGAATGAATTTTTTCACATTCTTTGTTGGTATTACATTCTGATTCCATCAGAAATTTTTGTCTAAATACCCTACACCTCTTATCTCAAATATATCATATTTAAATTTAAAACAACAACAAAAAAAAACTAAGCCTAGTAGGTGTGCTGAGGCATCTCTATAATCCCAGCACTTAGAGGTGAAGACAAGGAAGATCATGAATTTGAGGCGACCTGAGCTACATAGTGAGCCCCTCATTTAAAAATGGAAACAAAAACTAAGCCTATGCTTCATTTTACTGCTTAATAATTGCTGGAGGGGACTGGAGGAGTAGTTCAAGTGGTACAGTGCACCAGGTCCTAAGTTTGAACCCCAGTAACACCAAAAAAATACTGCTCCTGACACTTACCTACATAACTCTGGTCCAGCCTCTTGTCTCTCTGATTGCATTTACTTATCTGTAGGACAGAGGTTTTATCGGTCTCATGGAACTGCTTTGAGAATTAAATAGTGGGTGTAGAGCACATGGTCCATAATAAACATTCAGTAGAGATTTTTTTCCTTCTTACTTCTTTTTTCATATATGTATATTATACTTCCCTTCTAGAAGTGGTAGTTTTATCATTTTCTAAAATAGTGCCATTGTGAATGCAAAAACTTCAGCATGTCAGCTTTAAAACCTACAAATGAGAGACAGTTTGGAAAATAAAATTTACTTAGACTCTGGGCCTTATGCCTATTCTGCAGCAATCCTGGTAGGATGGGAATTCCTTGTGACTTAGAGGCAGGACAGTGTGGTCTACAGAGTGAACAAAACAGGACCATCATTGCATCACTTTGTTCTTTGATGACATGACATGTGAGAACTTACCTTTGGTTGGCTTGTAATACCTAGGAGTATATGAATACTATGTGATCTCTTCCACTTAGCTTTGGTTCTGGGCATTTTGTTATCCCCATCAGTGACCCCCAGGGGTTGTACCAACAGTCCAGGGAAGCATGGGAAGAATAAAGTAGAGTTTTATTTATTCATCTGAAAATAAAGGAGATATCATTTTGCTGATAGTATTGGCACTGACAGTGTACCAGTGTCAGCTATAGAGCTCCAGGTATCCTGAGGAGAGAAAAAGGAGGAACTCCTCAATGTGTAGGGCATGGCACATGTGCACTTACCTTGTTCCCATATGGTTTATTGCAGAATTGTGTTCCTCATTATAGGATCTAGATTCAATTCAACAAACTTCACAAAAGTCATCCCCAGTATCAAAAGATAATGGCAAAGCTGCCATCCCCCTCATCCTAGAAAAAATGCCACATTAATGAATCTACCTAAACTCACAAGAAGTGGGTCCATAAACATTATCAGAAAGACTGTTTCTATTATGTGTTTATATCTACAATAATAAACAGTGTATGTTATTATGAGTGTGTATTTTGCTTCCTGGTGATAATGTTAAGCCTTTGTGTTTAGCAAGAATTATGATAGCCAGTCTGAGGGAGTGGCTCAAATGTTAGAGTGCCTGCCCAGCAAGAGTAAGACCCTGAATTCAAACCCCAGTACAGCACAAAGGAAAAAAAGAAAAGAATTATGGTAGGCAGTTGTCCAGATTATTTTGAATAATATTTAATGAGTACAGAAAATGTTTTGTATCATCATTTAAGTATTTCAGAAATCTAGTTTATTTTGTCTTTATCTCATTCTTTTAAATTTCCTTTTATGTACATTTTGTGATACATAAAACAATGCTGTGGGATATCACATAATTTATAAACAGAACACATGTTGCAAGTACATGAGCCTTTCTTTTTAACTTGGAGGCATGTATAATCAGAAAAGTTTGGAGCCCTGTGGTCTGGATTCTGGCTGATCATCCAAATCTCTTGGAGAGGTTGATACAGGAGGTCTCTGGGTAGGCCCAGGATGAGCATTTCACAGGCCTCTCAGCTACTTTTGACGAGTAGTATTTGAGAACTACTCCCTGTCTATCTTATCTGCTGCAGTAAGCTGAACATCATCCAATAGCAAAATGTCAGTTTTTAGTAAATATTAGAAAGAAAACCATTTTGTAAGCTTCAAACATCTGTTTCACTGATATTTATTCCACTTCTTAGAATGTGTTTTGAACAGATATGTTTGTAATCTTTAACTTATTTTTGGTTAAAGAAAAGAATTTCATGCATAGATACTAGGGTAAACCATATGAAATTGCTAATAGTCAACCATTTTTTACCAGCAAAAATGGTAATTTGTATGGTTATCCAATTTTGGAAAACTGTCTAGGTCTAAAACCTGTAAAGATATTTGTATAAAAGGAAAGCTTTTATTTTACGTATTTTAAAATAAGATGGAAGTATTATTGAGGTAACCATTATAGTATGTCTTCTGTTTGTAATGTGTCTTTCTTCAAAGATTTATTACTGTATTATAAAAATGAATTTGTATACCTGTATATCTTAAGTTCAGCAAACAATATTTTAATCCCAGAATTCTAAAAAAGAAGTTTAAAATCTGATCTAGGGAAAAGTAAGACCCATAGCCACGTACTGGAAAACCAACATGCTATGAGCAAAATAAGAAATTTATAAAGGATATGATGCCAGAAAATTGCTAGAGATAAACAACAACAATTTATTTATCTGGATTCAAAACACTGGAAGCAGCCATCAGCTGCCTTTGCCTTTACTCATGGCCTGAGTTATGAGGCACACACTTGGTAACAGTCCTTGCTCCAATGCAGTCTTTGCTTTCCAGAACAAATGCATGAACATGGCATTTTCTAACATAGTGTACCTTCTGCTGGAATACTTGAGAGAAAAGCTTTTAATAATTAATATTTAATAATAAATACTAATAATAAGATGGAAGAATAGGTCCCCCCCCAGGGGGGTGGCTCAAACAATGTATATACACATGTCAGTAAATGTAAAAATGATACAATAAAATTTTTAAAAAAGAGAGTCATTTAAAAGAAAACATTACTGTTTTGAAAAATTTTGTAAATTAGCTGGGCACTAGTGGCTCACGTCTGTAATCCTAGCTACTCAGGAGGCAGGGATCAGAACGATCGCGGTTCAAAACCAGGCCCAGGCAAATAGTTCCATGAGACACTATCTCAAAAAAAACCCTTCCCAAAAAGGTCTGGTGGAGTGGCTCAAGATGTAGGCCCTAAGTTCAAGCTCCAATTCTTCAAAAAAAAATTTTATTTTGTAAATTAGTGTATCTTACCTATAAAATAGAAGACAATAGAAAAAAGTTCAACTTGAAAAAATTAATTTTTATATTTTTGCATGTCTGACTATAAACAACTAAGTGATTTTTTTGTTTTTGTTTTTTGGGTTTTTTGGATGGGACTGGCATTTGAATTTAGTCTTCTTGATTTGTTAATATTGTGGTTTTTAAAATGGTTTGCTAAAAAAGTGATGGCATTCTTTTGGAGTTTTTGTTTTTTGGGGTTGATTTTGGTGCTAGGCAAGTGCTGTCCCACTGAGCTACATCTCCAGCCCCTCTTAGTTTTTAGTAACATTTAGACCTTATTTCTAGAATGCTACTATGTTATCATCTTGCTACTTCAAGCTGTGCTGTGACATGAAACAAAGTAATTATAACTTGCTTTGATTATTTCTGATAAGAGATAAGGATGATGTGGGTAAATTAAATTCATACATAATCCCTAAAACATCATGTTGGCCATTAGCTTAAAAAATTCCTTTCCTACTAAGACTTTTCCTGAGACCTTCCTTAAGCTTGGAAATTGACATGTTTTAAAGATTTTAAGCTGATCCACTCCTGTAATCCCAGCTATGTGGGAGGTGTAGGTGGGAGGACTGGGGTCTGAGGCTGGTTTGGGGAAAAAAACATGAGACCCTTTCTGAAAAATAACTAAAGCAAAAAGGTCTGGGAGGCATGGTTCAAGTGGTAGTGTGCATGCTGAGCAAGTATAAGGCCCTGAATGTAAACCCCAGTACCACCAAGGGGAAAAAAAAAACAGCCTGGGCATAATAGCAAGACCCTGTCTCTAAAAAATAACTCTTTTCATTACAGGTGATCACCTTCTTTAGCTCAAGACTACTACAAGCTGGAGCTGAGCTGTCAGTGGAACGAGTCTTAGACATTATCAAGCAGGGGGTTGTTGCACTGCCCAAAGACAGACTAAAGGTAAGATAGCTAAAGAAACATCCACTGACACTGCTGTGTCACCTGATGTAAATGTTTGCCTGAGCAGGCGCTCTTCAGAATCATGATTACCCAGTACTTGTGCTAGAAAGGTTAAGTATTGCCTCCTGTACTATATATTGATACTCACCTATGATGAAGGTTTCTGTAGCTTTTCAAAAGAAGCAGCAAAAGAACAAGTATGAGTCCTATGAGTAGCCTCTGAGAGATTTGGTAACAAAGAGGTTCCTTATTTGTTTAACCCAATGAAACAAATTCAGTCTTACAAATATCACAAGTTTTTTGGAAAGGGGTGGTGGTGATGATAATGACAATCACTAATGTTTACGTATAGTTGCCTCAGTACTATGCAGGGTTCTTGATGTCTTACCTATATCAACTCATCTGTCCTCACAACAGCTCTTTAAGGTGGGTAGTGTTATCATCTGAGCAAATCCATGTAGGGAGGATAAGAAACTTACCCAACTACTGAGCTGGGGAATACAGACCCAGGAAGTCTGACTCCACAGCCCTTGTTCAAAATCTCCACACTGTTTACCGTATGCCTGCTATATAGCAATGGTAGTAAAAGCGCTTTGCAGGAAAAGCAGAGGACATTTACATTAGTGTGACAGACGTGCTTCTAAAGCAGTCTCATTATTTAAAATTTGTACTTCAGCACTAATTGCTCCATAGGAAAAATGTAAAGGGGAATTTTGGGGATTCGTGAATATATAGCATTATAACATAGTTTAACTTTAATACTTTTCCAGTTTCTCCTTCATTAAGTCTAATTTTTTAGAGTGCTTTCTCCTAAGTGATCTCTCTTAGTGGATGTTTGGCCTTCTTTGTGGTGTTTTAGCACAACCAGCTTCTGTTCCACTTACTGTTTGGGGGTATGTTTTTCAACACTATCACTAGAACTGCTGCTTAATGAACGCTTTAGAGATATTGTTGTAGGATATGAAAATATTTTCAGTTATAATAACAAAGTTTATAAAATAACAGCACATTCCTAATCACTTACAGAAGTTCTACTGTATATAAACAGCAGTAAGATTCACACAGTCCTGAGCAAAAACTGTAGGTGTTTCTGTTGATCAGCTAAGTTGCACCACAATGTGGTAATAGCATAAAAATAGTTAGAGTTCACTGGAATCTCCTGCTTTTACTATTCATGACAACTTTTAAATATTAGGAATTTACTAATTCCGATTCTTACATAAAATAAGACATTGGTTTGCAGGTTTGTTTTTGTTTTGCACTATTTCAAATTTATTTAAACTATACCATATGAACCAGTACAAAAATCCATGAAGAGTAAAGTGGCTGTTTCTAGGAAGTGATAGATCTTGGTGTGCAAGTTGAGTCAAGAAAGAAATGAAATATCAGAAAGTATTGAAAAAAGACATTGCAGAGGAGATGAGAGAAAGGATATTTTGATAGGATCAAAGAAGTGGAAGTAAAAAAGATTGTGATTAGAGCAGTATATGTGTACGCTATGATTTTAAAAGTAGAACTGATCTTGGTGATAACATGGTCTAGATTTGGCCATGAGTATGAAGGGCTAAAATGGCATGAATGTTGATAAAAGTCAGTGAGACTGAGTCAGCTAATAAACTGGGACCATAGGGTAAATGAGATAATAACCTAGAAGCCAGTGGGAGGCACTGGAAGGGAAGAGACTGGTACCAGACTCATATGACCAGAGCTCTGGACTTAAGGATAGAAGAATAATAGCCAGGGAATAACAAATTAAGCAAAGAGGATACTATCCCTGCATCCAGACCTTGAAGGATATGGAGTATGAAGGGATCTGGGGAGGATGGGAGTCCTGAGTGGAGAGCCCAGTTTCAGTTAAGAAGAGTTAAGGAAGAAAGATTGACTTCAAAGTCTGAGAATGTAAGGAAGTTAAATAATCACAAGACAAAGGCTTGAAAGGCACCATGAGGTATGGGATGAAAAGAAGAAACAGAAGATTAGATCAGGGAGAAAAAGTGCAGAGAGAATGGCTGGTTGGAGGGCTTATGTTTGAGGCAAAAGCCAGTAAGATAAGGACATATGATGTGTTAGGTTAAGTTGCTACAGGTCTCGTCAACACTGAATATATCTTTACCAAGCATCTGCTCTGTGACAGCCACTGTTGGATGTGTTTAGGCTAGATCAGTGAGCAAAGATCCATGCCCTCAGAGGACTCATGTCTAGCAGGAATGAACAGACAGTAAGCAATAAGTATAGTATATAACAAAATGATCTAGTCTATTAAAACATGGTAAGTGCTATGGAAAACAAGCATAGAGCAGGCTAAGGGGCTTTGAGAGTATCAGTGAGGATGTGGTGGGAGAAAGTTGTAAAATTATAAATAGTCTAGGCAACACTTAGAGAAAAAGGAGATGGGGGAGTTAAATATGCTGTTATTGGAGTAAGAAAAGCCTCTTTACTAGAGGACCTACAGTGGGAGGATGTCAATTGTTGAAGAAATAACAAGGAGACCAGAGTAGCTAGAGCTGCACGAGCAAGGGAGAGAGGAACAATGGATGGCCCAAGGGGTGGGAGGGAGGGTTAAAGACCGTGTAATGGAGACTTGTAGACTATTTTAATAATTTGGGTTTTTTTTTAATGATATGAGGAACCACTATTAGATTTGAGAAGAGGAACAGCATAATATGGTTTATGTTTTAGTAGAATCACTCTGGCTATTGTGTTGAGAAACAGGCCAGTTCAAAGACTATTGCTTATCTTGGACTATGGTAGTACGATTGGAAGTACAAGTAGGATTAGCCCAAGAAGTTGTCTGGAGAGGAGAGAAAAGCACTTAAGAAAGGCCCCTTAAGAAATAGCTGTAGTAAAAAAAAAAAGAAAGAAATAGCTGTAATCTGCCTTGATTGCAAAAGCTCCAGGGAGTGGTGACTAGAACCTCTGTTCTGATGGAGTGGCTAAAGAACTGATCAAATACTGGAAGAGTTGTTTATAGAAATGAATTTGGGCTTGGTATATGTAGTCTCAAAGACAACTTAAAACAACCTGGAAAACTTTCAGGTGTTGGTTAGCTAAACTGATCATGGGTAGAACCAGTGTTGTGGGGCTCAGCAGTATGTTGTATGTTAGTATGCTGCTCATGCAAAGAGGCTGTCCATACGAAACTCTTCAGAGCAAATGCTGTGAATTCCATACCTTAAGATGACCAGAGAAACTTTCAGAGAATCACCAAAATTATGAAAGAATCCAGGAAGGAACCCAAATTGTTTTTATTAGCTTTAAGAAGAAAAGATTCAAGCAGAAGAGACTTACCTTCAAGTCCTGGAAGAATTGTTTATGGAAACAGATTTGGTCTTGCTATATGGGGTCCTAGCAGTAGTAGGACCAATGTTGGAAAGCTGCATACAGGAACACACATTTCAGTTCTAAATTTGGAACAACTTTCTAACAGATGGAACTATTTGGAGATGGAAGGGCACGTTTGGGAAAGTGATGTATTCCCTGTCACTGGAGATGTTAGAGTCCACTTTGCAGGAATGTAAATAGGTTCCATCTTGATTGCAGATCTTATCTAGTGGTGTTAGCTGACTAGATAGTGAATGGAAAAGGATTCTAAGGCTGAGATCAGGTTTAGCAGGAAGAGCATTGAGATCCATTGCTATTGCTTGCCATTGTCAACAAGACCCAGAAAGCAAGGAGCACATATGCAGTTCTTTGCCATTCCATTTGTAAAGATTCAAACACTGGCTGGGAAATCCAACTGTTACCTTTAAGGGCCTTCTGTTCCTAAGAGTATAATTCTGTCTATGTATACACTGAAATTATTCTCTACAAAGATGGTAAACTGCATAAACTTTTGATGATACTTTTTCTCTCATAAAATGCAAGAAGCAGTGAGTCTGCCAGGGAAAGATGCTTGCCTGAGATTTAGAGGGCAAAAGAGGAGAAGCCATGTTTCTCCAGAGCTTTTTGTTACTTTAACAACATGCTTGAGATAATCAACTGATAAAAGAGGCTTATTTTGACTCACAATTTATTTCAGTCCATGATTAGACGGCCCTATTACTTTGTATCTGTTATGAGGCAGCACATTATGGTAGAAGCTCATGACAGAATAAAACTGCCCACCTCATCATGAGCTAGGAAGTGAAAAAAGAAGGGGCTGGAGTCCCACTGTCCCCTTCAAGGGGATGCCCCCAATAGCCTAAAGACCCTTCACCTGGCCCCTTCTCCCAGAGCTTCTACTACCTCCCAATAGCACCACAGGTTGGGGACCAAGCCTTTAACACATTCCAGATCCAAACTATAGGGCCCACCTTGGTGCTGTAAGTGGCTGAGGTCGTCAAGGGCTCCCCAGAGATACTGAGATTTCAGCAGCTTCTTCTGATCAAGAAGAAGCTTCTGGTAAGCTCTTGAGAACTCCACTGCTATGGGCTGTCTTTCAGCTTCCCTGCTCTGTTCTTGCACCCTTCCTGACAACTGCTTCTGTGAACCTGTTTCCCACATGACATCTTTTACCCTTCAATGATGCAGAATAGATTCCCTTTTCCCTGCCAAACCTGACAGGGAGTTAAAACCCCTGATTGCAAATGGATAGAAATTTAATATGAGGAATTCAAAATCATCGGGCTGGGGAAGCAAAGTGGAGAGAAACCACCACTGCCAGCCAGGAGATCAGAAGTAGCAAGAATGTCACTACTAGTGACCTTTCCTATCTGGAATATCAAAGTGAAGTCTCCAGGAAGATGCTAGGAGCCACTGGCAAGGCCTCTGTTAATGCCCACAGGCCAGCCAACTGCTGTCACTACACCTGGATTTCTCTTGTACCTTCCACAATATACACACATTCCCTTCATTGCCACAATTTAACCCCAAACCCTGCTGGAGCTATGCTGGGAAATGCTTTCTGGCTTTCAGTCCATGCCCCACAGAGGAAGGGGTAAGGGGAGGAGGGTGTTTCAGTTGCCTATTGGCAACATAGCACAGGGTCTGAAGACATTGGTAAAGCAGTGTGAAAAGTAATG